ACAATGGAAGTAGTCCTTCGAATAGGCTTTAGTGAAGAACAGTAAGACATAGGATCGGCTAGGGTAGATCTACAGCAGGCCTCAATTTAGCATAAACTTCAACCGGGTCTTGGAGAGAACATAAGGGCAAGCCAAGCAGATATTGGTACCAATAGGAGGGAATGGATAAAAAATTTCCCTATGTTGAGAATGTGTCTGGAACTGCTGAATGTTGCCGAGTCCTATTTTTGCCCGAAATTCATGATGAGGCCGCAATGCGAAATGAAAAGAACAGCATTCTTCACTTGCCAGAAATGAGCAATGAGGCAGGCAACGTTGTGCATGAGGATGAAGAAACAATCTGTGGACTTAATGACTTGGAACAGGATATTAAATCAGTTTTCACTGCAAATGAATGGCCAATCAGTATGACCAACAGTCAGTCCACTCCAGAGGTTCATCAATTGACACGCGATCCAAGACGAATATGTTCTTATATGACGTCGGAGGATGCTATACCCAACTATAGACCCAGCCATAGCGTCGAATCTACTGTAAAAAATCACACTTGCCCAGAAGAAGATATCCTAACACAATCGGTTGCATGTAGTAGCGAAATCCAGATGCTTGAGGCGAATATGGAAGAGAAATTGGCGAGTAAGATAGATGGCCGAATGGACGAGGTAGATCAAAATCGTGTAGAAAGTTTGGAGGCTGGCGTTTCGGGAGATGCTGATGCAGATCGCCAGCACTGGGGAAAAAAGGCAGACTTCTTGTTGTCTGTGATCGGGTTTGCTGTGGATCTGGCCAATGTTTGGCGATTTCCTTATCTATGCTACAAAAATGGGGGAGGTAAGTGCTCCAGCCCGGAAATCTTGTCAGTCTGTGATAACATATATATATATATATATATATGTTTATATATATATAATTGTAACTTAATTTTCATAATAGTTAGAAATAGATTAAAAGGCAAAAATTCTAATTTAGTCCTTCTAATGAATGGTATATAAAGGATAGATTTTGTGGTTGTATAAAAATGACTTAAGAGTCAAGTTATTGTTTTAAATACTAAGCCAGTAAAGTGTTTATTTACATATTAGTCTATAGACACAAATTGCCCGTGTGTGTGTGTGTGCGTATGAGACGAATGCTCAATAGTGATATTTTTTGTTCGACACTAAGGCAACTTAGAAGAATTGTTTGGAATTTATATAGATAGGTTAAAAAACGTATGTTAGGATTACTTATATAAAAAATTGTATATGCACACTAGTTATACACATTTAAACTATTATTATTATTATTTATTGTTATACAATTTATTTATATACTATATTTGCCACCATTGTTATGGTTAAGAAGAAGTCATATCAGCTAGGAATCAGGTCTACAGTAATAATTAGCACTACGAATATTCAAAAGTATTTTTGGTTGCTACTAAGCCGTCACTGGAAGTTGGAAGTAGCAGTATTCATTAAGTCCTCTTTGAAACACATACTTCCTTATAGTTCTCCCTAGATTCAAATAAAGCAAAGGTTTAGAAATTTACTGTAGTGCTGGCTTAATCTAGATTAAGTGGGCAATATCCTAATTAAAGCCAGAGTTTACCTTTCAGAAAGGTTTGATTCTTTAGGCGTTCACTAATGCTATGCTAATGAGCTTCATTTTTCGCAT